TCTGAGTTTATTAAGGGTGGTGGGCAATTCAGCACCCCATCTGCAGTGGTTGTCTCCATGATTTCATTCTCAAGGTGGATTCTAGTGCAATCCTGTAAGCAGTTTGTTCATGGCTGGTGAGTCTGATGGAGTTATTAATAGAAACAAAATGATCAGTCAAGTGACAAGTGATCTCCAGAGAATATTCATTGAGTTATTTAACTGGAATTTGGTGCAAGTGCTCAGTCTTGGGCATTAAAGGACACCGAAGCCAGAACTGTGAGCTTAGCTGCTTAATTCAGCTTGATGTCAATGAATATCTGTGGGCTTCTATGTGGGCTAGGTATGGGGAGAAGAGAATGCAAGCAAGAAAAAAATGTGTTTTCTTACCCATAGTCTGCAAATCCAAACTAGCTTTTTGTTGTCTCAATCTACATGGGGATTTGTTGTTCACAACTGGAAAATGAATTTACTTGCTAGCTGAGATCCAGAAACAAAATGTTTATTTATCCCTGTTTCTAAATGTTTTTACAGTATGTTCCTGGGAAGGAGGACTACAGAGTTGAGTTATCTACTTCATACTCCAAAATTAGAATAGAAAGATAAACAAGACACCAAAGCACAGGAAATTCAGCATACAAGCAAGCAAAAGAGAACTTTAATTCTGAGTTTTGCTTTAACCCCAAATGCTGGCCAAATAGGTTGCATGATAACACTGGGAACAAACAGCATAATGGCTGGAACCCATAAAGTCCATGAAGGGATACACTTCCTTCAACCCTGACAGGAGTCTCTAGGGGCTGAGGACTTGTGCCCCTTTTCCAATTGCTTTGTCAATGGCCCCTTCCCTGGGCAGGCATCGCAGCTGTTTGGCTACTGGTCCCATTACCGAGCGCTGGAACAGCCAGGTGACAGTGTGCTTGTCTGGAAGATGGCTGAGACCTTTTCACATATCTTGTAGCTCATTCAGGGGTAAGGGTGGTTACTGGCTCCTTTATGAGTTTTTCCTCTTCCTTCTCCCTGATCAATGTCTGCCTCTCTTTCTCCTCCTGCTCTTGTGATGGCCTTACTTTGCAGTAGTCAGCCTTGTCTGCTTCTTCCTCCTGCTCCCTCTTAGAAGCTCCTTCATCCCTTACTAAATGAGCTGACTTCCAGTATTTCTCTTTGTGTATAGGGGTGACTGATACCGGCATGGGTTGGTTCTTTGATTCAAACTCAGGGCCTGTTGTTTTGTTGTCAGACCCAAAGACCTGGTTTTCCTCTTGAGGGCACTGAGTAGTGTTGAATAAGACTCAGTAGGTGTGGGCCAGGCCCCAGCACGCTGCAGTGATTTGTTTCTCTGGAATTACAGGGTGACAACATCATTTTTCCAAATATTTTACATTTTTTTTCAGGATTCTGCACTTACTCATGGCTGAAATCCCAAAACATTTTCTCCAAATCAGAGATGCCCACTGTCCATACTATCCCACACACCCTGCCACTCGTTAACTATTCAGCCTTGGTGCAGATCTGTGGCTGGTACTCTTAAATAGCTGTCTAGCCCATAGCATTCAGGAGACATAGCAATAGGAACACGGTGGTTTGAACAAGCTGGGGTTAGTACAAATTCTCAAGAGCTATTGTACTTAGCCTGGAGGAGAAGGGGAAGATGGAGGAAGGTATCTCTGCCATAGACTAGACCTTTGAGGAGGAAAGATAGAAGGTGTTATTATTAGTAGTTTCCAACAGATGGCTCCCAAAGTATGGAGATGATGAAAACGCTAAGTACAAATACCAGATTAGTCTCATGACCAGCAGTTTTATCATATCATAAACCAGTGCTGGAAAGTACAACTATAGGATAACCCTAACCCAGCCCCTAGAGGTGATAAACACCACCACAGAGAACATATACAGCAAGTAAGGTGTTGGATAGCACAACTCTGAGTACATGTGCAACAGCTCTGAGAGCAAATAAATCAGCGTTGCGAACACTGACTGTTATACTATTATAATGAAAGCTTATAACAAATCTGTTTTAATATGCTCTGGTCAGATCTGTTGTTAACTCTTCAAGCCCCATGTTGGATGCCAAAAAGGACTCTTGTGGTTTAACCTGGCATGCAGTTAAACAGCACACAGCCACTCGCTCGATCTCCCTCATTACAGAGGGATGGGGAGAGAACTGGGCAAAAAATAGCAAAATTAACGTGTTGAGATAAAAACAGTTTAATAAGACAGAAGAGGAAGGGTAAATAATGATAGTAATAATAATAGAATACAAATACACAAATCAAGTGATGCACAATGCAATTGCTTACCACTAATAGACCAATGCCCAGCCAGTTCCCAAGCAAGGTCCTGTGCCCAGCTTTCCCCTAGTTCATGCACTGACCATGGCACCATCTGGTGCTGAATATCCCTTGCATCAGTTGGAGTCAGGTCCTGGCTGTGTCTCCTCCCAGCTTTTATGTCCCCCCAGCCTACTCAATGCAGGCCAGTGAAGCTGAAAAGTCCTTGACTTAGTGTAAGCACTGCTCAGCAACAACTAAAACATCAGTGTGTTATCAATCAGCATTATTTTCATCCTAAATCCAAACCACAGCACTGTACCAGCTGCTAGGGAGCAAATTAACTCTATCCCAAGCAAAACCATGACAGTATTGTAATTCAGTCATTATTCTCTCCCAGCATATGTCACACTGCATAGGTTGACACTTGTAAGGGATTTTAGCCTGCTGTTGCTACCATGTTTAGTTGGTGCTGGAATTGCTGGTTGGCTACATACCACTGAGTGAGCAAGCACGTACTACATAGTTGAGTAGTAATGGTCACAGTAAGAGTAAATTAAATCACCTAATGCCAAAGTCAGGCAGTTATTCAAAGCAAAAACCTCCCAAGTGATGGTTGGTGTGTCTCCTCTGAGGGTGGAGAGGTGACAACAACAAGCCTTACTGGGGCCTCCAAAAAGCTCATTTAAAAAGAGCAAAGGCAGTGGCCTCCGTGTGCTCTTGGTTCTTGACATCTTGTATTTGCAGGCACCAGGCTTCACTATGGGATTGGCATAACACTGATGCACACAAAATGAATAAAGAAAAAGAAACCAAACCAGAGGGCCAAATAAACAATTTTAGTTTACATTTTTGGCTTTAATTCTCTGTATTTTCAACTAGGACTTGAAAGGCAAAAATCCCAGACCTTGCTTTTCATGTTTTCATGCATCAATGGTCAATGTTTCTGTGGAATTTGGCTGTTTGCATTTCCAGCATATTTCAGCCTGATTTATGAATGTGCACAACACAGTCTGAAAGGCTGGGTAAGTCCTGAGAAGCCAAACCCCTCATCAAGCATATAACCATGGGAAAAAGAAGAAACTAAATAAGTAAAAGTAAATAAGTATTAAAAATCGAATAAAACTCTTTCATCTGGAATACAGATAAGAAATGTCTTTTAACATTTAAATAACATGTTGGTAAGAGCTGAAATGTCTCCTGGCTGAGATTTGACCTCTTGGATGAGATTTAGGGTTTTGCCTGGTTTAGGATGTATGCCAGTGTGGGAAGGCTTCCAGTTGATTTGACAAGCCTTTAGATCAGATGGTGTGATTCAGCCTTAAATATTGCAAACAAAAGACCTTTAACAGCTCAGAATCTTTCGAGTTTGGTTTTAGTTGGTCTAGAGAAGTGAAAACTTAAAGAAAAAAAAAAAAACATCAATCTTCAGCTAGGTAAAATGCATCTAAAGAGAAAGGGGAGGAAATTCCTCCCTGTGGCTAGGAGGGACAGTGCAAGAGCTAATGGGATCTGCCAGCAACAGTGAAAACTGCGAACAGAACTTGTGAAAAGCCTTTTCAACAGCGATGCTAATTTCACTCCTGGGTCATGTCAAGCATAAGAGATTGCATAGGCAGGTTAGGAAAATATCTGTTGGGAAGATTTTGGGCTGAGGGTGCAGAGGGAAGCTCCAGCTGATGTGCTTTTGAGCAGCAGTGCCCATGGTTGAGCAGGAGGAGGCACAAGGGTGGCTGGTACAGAGGATGGAGGCAGCAGCAGAGACCTAGTAGCTCTGTAGGAAACAGGCTGCGATGTTCATGGACACGAATGCTGAAGTGTGGAGGGAGAAGAAGACTGGGGCTATAGCAGGGATCTCAGGAGCAGAAGGTGTGTCAAGGAGATAACAGGAGAGAAAAGAGCAATGGTAGTTACACCAAAATGGTTGGGGAACTTCTTCGAGACCTCTCAGGACAGGATGATTCCTGTTCTCTATTGTTTCTCACCTTTGCCAGTACATCTACCATCAATGAGGAACCAAGGAGTCTTTCAAAATCTTCCCTGTTAGGTTTGGATGGTAGCTTTATCTTTGCTGCTAGGTCTTATTTGATTTTCTACTCATCCTTTACAGTTTAGCTCCATTAAAATGCCTTGTTATAGCCACACACACAGAGGTGTGCCCAACACTCATACAAACCAGAGGTACCTCACACCTCTTCACAGCAGTACACAGAAGTGTTTCAAAATGCAACTGATGGGCAGAAAGCCCAATACTGGAGGAAAAGCTTCTTCTCCAATAACACAGAGAAATACACTGGTTGTAAAGGACGATTAGTCCTCACAGGCATGTAGGGAAGCTCCTGTCATGTTTCTGAAGTCCTCAACTTTGGTGATGCAGTGGGAACAGCACTGGATGAGGGACCTGCTGGGATGGGTGAGGATGCTCAGGGACTCAGTCAGCCATCTGCTTTGGAGGGAACACAGGGGTGGAGGAAATGCAGATTGACAGGTCCTTATGTGGATCATTTTGCTTTTGTGAGTGACACACAGGAGAAAACAATAGAAACCAAAAGAGAGGGCGTTTCTGAGTTGGAAGTCCTCCTAGGTCAGATATCTTCTGTAAATTTGCACGTACAGAAAGAAAAAGGATTATCTCATTCCTTTGGAAGCCTACACTAAGATATTTAGGAATTCCCTATGCAGTATTTCAGAAGCAGGGCCTCAGTCCACTGCTCAGCGTATTTTTAATCCAACAGACCACACTCTTCAAAAGAGTAAAACATCCATCTGTATTTTAATCACAACCACATTCATTCGAAAGACAAAATACAATTATTGCTTTGTAAACATTCCTTCCTTTGATTTGAAATTACGCTGCTCATGTAACAGATTACTTCAGCTTGGAAATCTCTGCGTTTTACAAATAAGCACAGACCTGTTACTTTTCCATTGAGAAATTTAGCATCAAGAGCAATGCTCAAAATAATTATTGTATAGCCACAACTCTAGATGCCATGATAAGAACAATTTTTACATTTCCTTTCCAGGCATGACCTATTTCTTTTACTCTATACTAAACCTCGAAATACTTATTGATATCCATTCATATTGTCTCTCCAGCTCATGAAATCTCTAGGCATTAGGTACATGGTCTCAGAAGAACGTAAGAAGGGAACTAAAGAGGACAAAAATGGTAAGATGATCGTACCAAACAACTCGTGACATGAATGTTGAAATGATTTCTTAATCGTTTAAGAAGTGTTAGGATTACAAAGTTATTCTAAAGCACTATAACAGGATAGGATTTATTGTTGATAAAGATATCACAGCTTCTTACAAATGGTACAAATGTGACTGTGGTCAGTGAAGCATTTTGGCAGCTGATGATATGTGACATTTGCCTTGCAGTCACCGAGTGGATGATGCTGACCTTTGAGCTCACATTGTCCCATGTGAAAGCAGTTTCTTCAGTGCAGGTCTTGCAAGAAACCCAGCAAGAACAAAGACGACAACTGCGAGGACAGCGACAGCAGCAACGGCCGGCGTGAGGGGGTTATCAGCTTGGGGAGGAGGCAGAGAGGAGTCCAGCCCTGAGAGTGAAGGCAGAGGGGGTAGATCTCAGTTTATTAAAGATCAGGACAGAGAGAGCTGCTGCATTAAAAAGGGTGGTTCCCAGAACAGAGCCCGAATTAGGCTAACATCACTGCTTTAAACTATTTGAACATGCTTTACATTAACAGGGATGACAACATAACTAAGCAAACTTGACAAGAGGAAGACAACTAAGGGAATTAAATGTGTCTCAAAAAGGCTGAGCTGGGCATCATATTAGCCATTAGTTCATTGGCTCCAGCAGACTGGAGCTAATTAGTTGAATGGAGTTATAGCACCAAAAATTTCATGGCACTTTCATAGCATCCTATTTCACAGAAGCATAGAATGGTTAAAGTCCCTTCCAACACTAACCATTCTGTGATTCTATGAAAACGGGGCACACGCTGCCTCTCCTTTGGGACAGCCAAAGCAGTTATACTTTTATACATGCAGGGCAAAACAGGGGGCTTACAATGTGTGAAAGAAGAGATTTGTAGGCATTTGGCTCAGCCAAAAAGATCCCTTTTTTTTTATGGTAAAGTTGGCAAAATCAGATTTCAGTGGCAGATGTAAGAAAAGCTAGGGCTTTTCTTGAAGTCCCAAATAGGCTTAGAGTAAAAGAAGAGGAAGTTATTTGACTTTACCAATATTCCTACTCTTAGCACCCCCTCCTTGAAGCTGAAGTGGCCCGACAACCACATTCACTCTTTCCTCAGCAGAACTTGCATCTCTCTTGGCCCTGCTAACACAGCCCCGGTAGCAGCGGGAGGAATAGTCCCGAAGCCTGCACACCACCAGCTCACACCGCAGGTAGACTACTGAATGCCGGCTGATGAACTCAAAGGCATTAAACTTGAACCGAGCAAAGTGGCTGTAGGGGGAGTAGTACGTGGCATAGGAAGAATCTCTAGCACATCTAGAAAGAAAGGAAAAAGAGAATTAGGCTTTATGTATATTCCTGCAAAAATGCTATAGGTTAAAACAAAATTATATCATAGCCAGGTGCTAAGAAAACAATGGGACAAAGATTCAACTTTTATAGTGTTGTACAGACTTTGAAAACAGAGACTTAAGTCCTTTGAAGAAGCCAGAGCACTGGCAACTCTTTCTTTCCAAGAGAAGAATATTCTATTTAGGCCAGGTTGGATGGGGCTTAGAGCAGCCTGCTCTAGTGGGAGGTGTCCCTGCCCAAGGCAGGGGGGTTGGAACTGGGTGAGCTTTAAGGTCCCTTCCAACACAAACTATTCTATGATTCTAAGTGTTGAAGAGGGAAGAACAGACTTTTACTAATGTCTGTGCTATATGAGTCATAAAAAATTATTCTAATGCTTGACCTGATTTTAGTAACATATTTAATGCCTAGGATGATAGATTCCTGCTGACAGTTTTCACTATCTCATCTCATCTACCTCCCACTACTTTGGATTTTGCATATAGGACAAGGATGAAGTAAGGGAAATGAAGTGCTAGTAAAGTCTTAATGTAATGTCTCATTTCCAGGTTCACACTGTAAGAATAAAAGCTCAAAAACCCCTCTTAACAGTCTATGGATAGTGAGGTCAATATCAATTCAGATTGGCTCTATTCTTCTAAATAAATGCAGAAAGAGTATTGTAGCTATGCTTCTAACAGCTTGAGAAAGCTCTTACCCATTCCTGATTATATCATAGGCCAGTCTGTTAAAATCATGAGGATCAGGTGATGCCACACATGTGTCCACAAACAGGATCAGATTTGGATCAGAGCTGTGAAGATAAGCTTGAAGGTACAAATTTTGGTTCAAGTCAATGTAGTACGGAGAGTCGTGCACTTGCCGCAGGAATGATGAGGAGTCATAGAAAGTGATGTTTATGGTGTATCTTCCAAACTGATTTTCATTCATATCTACAGTGTCCTCAGCAACATACGTTATTTGCATCCATGTTTTCTGTAGCATTTTGCAACTGATGTGTAAGTTAATATTCTTTTTCCTCCTGATTATGTACCCAGAAGAAGTAACTTTGATGGTGTTGGAATAGTTGATGGTATCGTTGTTCTCCTGTTTAACATGCAATTTAAAATGAGGAATTGCATTTTTGTCATGTTATCTGTTCTAAGCTTTGGTAGAGTAAGACGAAGTTTGAAAAAGCAGATTTCTCTTAAACTCTTGAAACCAAGAAGTTGATACTGGACTTTGCTGCTCACACATACTAAACAAACTTGCTGAAGTAAGCTATTGAACAGAAATTAGTGGGGAAAACTTCTGTTAACTCCAAGGCAGAACCAGCTCATTCAACATCTGTACCAAATATCAATCATGTAGTGCAATTATCCCAAACCTGCGTGGCACTTATAAGACTACATCTGCTTTAAATCAGGGAGGGTTCATATAACTCCTTCTCATGCTTTCCTCCATTTCTACTAAGCATGGGGATTCCCTAAAGCACTAAAAACCTCTGCGTCTCATTGGTTCACTTTGTACTGTAGACCACAAGGGCCCTTCATGACTCTCTTCAGTGCGGGGTTCTGCAATTCAGGATAACACATACCTCCCGTGTCGTCCCACAGTCGTTGTAGGGAATGTTGAATATAACCTCACGTGATGTGATTGTTGGTCTACAACGATTATCATTCAGAGTGACCATCTCCGCTGAGTAGCCCTGAGACTGGAGGTAGTCTGTGCTAACCACTGCATGCATGTAGTCTGGCAAGCACTGAAGGGCTGGTAGAAGAAGCAGAAACCATATATTAGTGACTTTATGAATTTGTTAATGATTAAATGTTGTAATTGAACCAAATGTTGTTTATTTCTTCATTTAGAAGGGAGGCAGTTCACATACCAGCCCATCATATTCACACACATCATGTAATTTCCCTAACATCTTTAAATACACACAAATCTTTATTTTGCAAACAAAAGCAATAATCAGGCTGGTATGTTAAGAAACACCAACCAGCAACTTACTAGAGTTGTGAACTGCTGGAATGGAGGAGTAGTGAGCCTGAAACCCCCTGAAGGTGTCTCTAGAATCGCTGTGAAAGTGAACGGTCATCATGTTTGAAGAGGATGTGTATGTGGGAAAGGAACCAGAGCAAAGTCTCCCAAGAAGCGGGGAGGAATGTAGAGGCCCGTCGTAGACTTCAATGTAGTCATACTGGCATCTGCCGCTTTGCATCCTGGCAAACAAATGTCAGCACCTTGTCAAAAGTGTTTCAGAAACTCAGAGTTAACACGTTATAAAATCAGCACTTGAGGTTTTTACGGCTGAGGGTTTGTTCATTTTGTATGTAGATGTAGCAGAAAATTGTGAGCAGAAAATACTACACTAATCGAGATTTTCTTCTGGTCATAACATCACAGTCATAGAGTAGCTTGGGTTGGAAAGGACTTTAAGATCATCTAGTTCCAACCCCCTGGCATGGGCAGGGATGCCTCACTCTAGACCACGTTGCTCAAAGTCCAACATCGCCTTGGACAGTGCCAGAGATGGAGCCTTTCAACTGCTGGATGTTTTTGAAAGAATCTTTAAAATTTGGAAGGTTTCCTGTTTCAGCTAGGTTCCAAACCTCTCACGTATATTTTGACTTTGTCATTTGCTCAGGGAATCAATGTTTTACTTACTCAATATCTCTAAATGTGAGCACAACACGGAAATTGTTCTCTACTTGTATTTCCCACACGCAGTCAGCGTTGTTTGGATAACTTCCAGGGTAGAAGGGAGTCTGCAGCATCCCAGAGGAATTTGAGATTGAGCCACCACAAAAATAAGGTGCTGCAGAAAGAAATGGAAGAGAATTCACTTACAGTAACCTCTGCAAAGTTGTACTTGAGGTGTATGTGTTCCATCCACAGCTGCTGAAGAGCAGGTCTCCTGCTAACTGCAGCTGATACTCTGTAAGACTCAATCAAGACAAATATTTTTCCCCCTTTAGGTTTACTTTCATGTTGGATTTGGGATTCCCTGTCACATCCATGGTGTCAGACCACTCTCTTCAAGCTGGCGTTTGTAACACCTTGGAGCTTTCTGCTCTCGTCTCTCCTTTCTGCAGTTGAGGTCTAATTCAGGAAGGCACCATGACACTCAACATGGAAGTACCTTCCTCAACAAACAGAATCCCCTCAGTTACCTTCCTGCTTCTCTTTATTTCCCTAATTCCCCAAGTCCTAAGGACTTCAGAGAATCAATAAGTTGCAAGTCTTCTAGGAAACTCTAATTTTATCATCACAGACTGAAATAAGCATTCCAGGCTGCTGGGCCAAGTCTTAAATACATCTTATTTCTATTATAAGTATAGCTGCAAAAAGTTTTCATGGTCTTGCCAGATGAATGACATACAATTCTTACGTTAAATGCACTGATAATCCTAAAAGTTTCCTGATAGAAAGTGAGCACATGCTATGAATGTAATTCCTACAAGATGTGACACATAAAGGCAAAAACAACCCCCATTTTATATTCCTGCACAGCACACTCCTCCCTGCCTCAGGATTTTGGAATATTCAGGCTATTCCAAGCTTGGGAGGATCAGCTGTGCTTAGGTACTGCCCTTTCTCCTGATCAGACTGGGTGGGCTCTCAGGCACTTTCACTTTTGTGTTGTCTTCTACTGTGAATCATAGAATCATAGAGTCATATAATAGTCAGGGCTGGAAAGGACCTTAAGATCATCCAGTTCCAACCCCCCTGCCATGGGCAGGGACACCTCACACTAAACCATGTCAGCCAAGGCTCTGTCCAACCTGGCCTTGAACACTGCCAGGGATGGGGCGTTCACACTTTCCCTGTTGTGGATGGTCAAGGCAAAAATAGGCTGATGACCATGACAGCTGGGGCAAGCAGAATAGCCAAAAGTTACACATTGTGATAGTTGAACACCACCCTACCAATAATAATGCATGTGAGAGATTTAGACCACATATCCTTAAGCTTTGACCTAGCTGAAGAGCCCAGTGAAGAAATGGCTTGCCTACAGCCAACCATCATAGCAGAAAAATAAGCATCACTAAAATGCAAGGGGATAACACAGCCTGCCTAAGGATTATCATGCAAATTTAAAGGGATTTTTCCATAGAAAAAGAAAAATCAATTAAAACAAACAAACAAACAACAACAACAACAAAAAAAAAAAACCCAAAAACAAAAAAACCAAAAGGTAGGCAGCCCAGAAATAAAAGGAGAGAAAAGGCAAAGAGCATTACCTGATGTAGATGTCGGGGTGGCTACAGCAGCTGTGGGTATAGAAGAGGCACAGGTGAGATGTGAAGCTCAGAGGAAAGGTGCTAGAGCACACATGTGGCCCCACCTTAGGGCACAGGGTACCACGACAGAGATTGGGGTGAGGAGAGGATGGGGACACCATAGAAGACTGGGCACAGAGGACCATGAGCTGCATGCTAGCCCCAGTGCCTTTGCCGCCCACAGACCTGCACAGACGACACCAGCGTCCTCCACGTGCCGGCAGTTGTGCATGCCCCAGCCGTTGTGCCGGCACATCCGGAGCGAGGGCTCGTCCCCGCGGCACTGCACGTCGTCCAGGAAGATGCGGCCGGAGCCGGCCCCGAAGCGGGCGCTGCCCGGGGCGGCCACGGGTTCCCCGCAGCCCAGCTGCGCGCACACCACCCGGGCAGCCCGCAGGTCCCACAGGTCGTCGCACACCGTGCCCCAGCTGCTGCCGTCGAACAGCTCCACGCGGCCCTCGCAGCCGTGCCTCCCGCCCGACAGGCGCAGGATGGGCCCTGCGACACGGCACAAGGCACCGCTTCAGGGTCCCGCCGGCCCCGCACACGCAGCACCCACCTCCCCGGCTGGTGTGGGTGCAGGGACCACAGGATAGGGTGGTGCAGACCGAAGGGAGCAGGGGAGGGCAGTGACGGAGCAAAGACCCCGGTGTTAGAGAGCAGTGTAGGGGAGAGGGACCTGGGGGTCCTAGTGGACGACAGCATGACCATGAGCCAACACTGTGCCCTTGTGGCTAAGAAGGCCAATGGCATCCTGGGGTGTATTAGAAGGGAGGTGGTTAGTAGGTCGAGAGAGGTCCTCCTTCCCCTCTACTCTGCCCTGGTGAGACCCCATCTGGAGTATTGTGTCCAGTTCTGGGCCCCTCAGTTCAAGAAGGACAGGGAGCTGCTGGAGAGAGTCCAGTGCAGGGCAACGAAGATGATTAAGGGAGTGGAGCATCTCCCTTATGAGGAAAGACTGAGGGAGCTGGGTCTCTATAGTTTGGAGAAGAGGAGACTGAGGGGTGACCTTATCAGTGTCTATAAATATATAAAGGGGGAGTGTCACGAGGATGGAGCCAGGCTCTACTCAGTGGCAAACAATGATAGGACAAGGGGTGATGGGTACAAACTGGAACACAAGAGGTTCCACTTAAACTTGAGAAGAAACTTCTTCTCAGTGAGGGTGACGGAACACTGGAACAGGCTGCCCAGGGAGGTTGTGGAGTCTCCTTCCCTGGAGACATTCAAAACCCGCCTGGACGCATTCCTGTGTAACATTATCTAGGTGTTCCTGCTCCGGCAGGGGGATTGGACTAGATGATCTTTCGAGGTCCCTTCCAATCTCTAACATACTGTGATACGGTGATACTGTGTGTGTGCAGGAGGCAGATTCTCCCTGCAGAGGGACATCTGCGGGCCGGCGGGAGCTGCCTGGGGACAGGTTGCTTGCTTGAGGCATGGGTAGAAAACCCATTTGTACACGTTCAGTGTGGCCCATCCCCTAGGGGGTAGCCGTCATGCACCGTGGAGAGGGGAGCAGCAGCCCTGCACTGGGCAGGCTCTGGCCAGCAGTTTCCCCCTCCTCTCCTCCTGTGCCCCTGCAAGGCTGGGGATAAGGGGATAAGCTCAGTGAGCACTCATTACCTGTTGTGTACGGTACTTGGGTAGGAGGGGCTGTAGGTACTGCTGCAAGGAAGAAGAGGGAGTGAGTGAATGAGCCCCCACCCTGCTGTCCCCACATGGGCTCCTGCAGCAGGGAGCCTGAATGCATGGTGCAAGGCCAGGGGTGCGTGTGGTGGGTATGAGTTACCTGTTGAATGTGGTCTCTCGGTGCTGGCAGCTGGAGCTGTGGGTGCAAAGAACAATTTGGTGTCAATGAAGAAGGCTCTAAGCACCGTCAGTGCATGTCATACACCCTGAAGTAGCCTGCCTTCAAGGAGCTCCTGTCCTATGGTACTTCATACCATGTCTTTCATTCAATTGAAATGACCATCATGACTTCTGTGTTTCACACAACTACTTGCTCCTTGGACAGGAACCATATGGCGGCTGAGGTCTAACTTGCATTACAAAACATTTGAGTCAGCATCTTTCTCTTTTCCACTCACATTGCAAATCCCAGAGTATGTCTAGGCAATAGCTATGGTACTCCCTGTGCTGGAACTGAAGGGGCTAAGTCAGAATGATCCCCTGACACAATCCCCCCATTGCAGTGAGAGAAAATCCCTTCCCAAATAGTTTACTTCACCAGCAATGGTTACAGAGGACCTGGCCTCTTGCCTTACCCCCCCCCAGTTTACCAGCTCTTCTCCATGCTCTGCTTCCATCCTCATTGTGGACTTGGGTGGCAAGAATGAAGTTTGCTCAGAGATGGGAGACTCCCTCCCGTGCAATCAGATCAGAGAAATCAGAGGCACTAAGGAGACCGGCGAGGGAGAGGGTTACCTGCTGTGCTCTCCTGTGCTGTGGTATTCACTGGGACTGTGGTGGCAGCCTCTGCTATGGAGGACGTGTCCTCTATGGAGGTTGTTTGCACTCCTGTGGTTGTGTCCACTGGGTAGGTCAGTAGTGCTGTGGTGGTCATTGTTGCTGAGGAGGATGTTGTTGCTAAGGAGGTCATTGGTTCTGCAGTGGTTATCTCCTCTAGGGACATTGTCCCCACTGTGGCAGACAGTGGTATTCCTGTGATTGTCTCCAGCGAGGAGAATGTCTCTGCAGTGGTTATCTCCTCTCCTGCAGTGGAGAGTGGTGCTGAGGTAGTTGGGGAGGTCTTCCCTGCTGGGGAGAACATTAGTTGTGTGATGGTTGTCTCTTCTAGGGACGTTGTCTCCGTTGTGGTGAACCTGTCTGCTATGGTGGTCATTGGTTCTGCGGTGGTTGGTTCTGCTGGGGAGGACATTGGTTCTGTGATGGCTGTCTCCTCTAAGAACATTGTCTCAGCTGCAGAGGTCGATGGTACTATGGTGACCACGTCTGGTAGAGAGGGCAGAACTGTTAGAAAGGTCATTGGTTCTATGGTGTCTGTGTCCTCCGTTATGGGTACTGTCTGCAGTGTTGAGTTTCTTGGCACTGTGGAGGTCGTCGGCACCATAGTGATCCTTCCTGTGAATACAGAAGAACCACCATGCATATGAGGACCATGCTTGTGCAATGTGTACATCTGTGTGTTAGCTACAAGCTCAGTTCCTTAAGGATGAAGTGAAATCAAGACAAATTACTCTGTGTGAATGCTCCATCCCTGGCAGTGTTCAGGGCCAGGCTGGATGGGGCTTGGAGCAACCTGCTCTAGTGGAAGGTGTTCCTGACTGTGGCAGGGGGTTGGAACTGGGTGATCTTAAGGTCCCTTCCAACCCAAACCATTCTGTGATTCTATGATTGCATACTCCATCTTGGCTGGGGTCAGTGGAGGCAATAGAAGTGGGTAACAGCCAATTGAAATTTTTTCTTAAAAGTGGTATTTCTAGATGGTGACTGCAGCGAAAGGTACTGATGCAGCATCTGCTCCCACCACAGGACACGATGGCTCAGGCATGGTTGGAGGCTGTCCCCTACAGGCTCCTGCTACAGAGACAGGAGCTGTAGGGTTGCTGGCACCAGCAGGACTTGAACCCATCACCATCATAGAATCATAGAATCGTTAGGGTTGGAAAGGACCTTAAGATCATCCAGTTCCAACCCCCCTGCCATGGGCATGGACACCTTACACTAAACCATGTCGCCCAAGGCTCTGTATAACCTGGCCTTGAAGGACTCCACTGATGGAGCGTTCACAACTTCCCTGGGCAACCCATTCCAGTGCCTCACCACCCTCATAGTAAAGAACTTCTTCCTTACATCCAATCTAAACTTCCCCTGTTTAAGTTTGAACCCATTAGCCCTTGTTCTGTCACTACAGTCCCTAATGAAGAGTCCCTCCCCAGCATCCCTATAGGCCCCCTTCAGATACTGGAAGGCTGCTCTGAGGTCTCCACGCAGCCTTCTCTTCTCTAGAAGATACAGCTTTGCCTCTAATTTTAACATGTTTCCTTGCTCTCTTTGTCACTGCTGGGTGATTTTATGCCATGACAGAATTAAAGTTCTGCACATAGCAATGCAAATCTGATCCATGGGTTTTTAATTGCTGTGCACGCAGTGAGCAAGCACAGTTTGTAAACTACTGTAGTGAGAAAAGTATGGTCCACAATGGCTCTGCAGGGTCAATGGAGCGAAAAGACAGGGCTGTTGGAAGACCAGGCTCTGCTTCCTGAGAGATTTCCTAGGGAGTGTGCCTTTGCACAGACAGAAAGCTCTTCAAAATAAAGTAGAAAGAAAGATTAGACATGTATCTGGTATATCTGGTATAGCTTTCCACCATATGTCTTGAACAAATGTTATCTCAGAAGGAGAATGCCTCCATACCTGCATGTCCATACATGTATATTGAGTGCAATTTATAGCAAAAGTATTCAGAAAAGAAAAACATGACAGCACCTGAACAGACAACACCAGCATCTTCATAGTGGGCACAGTTGTGTACCTTCCATCCGAGATGTTTACAGAGAAACAAGGAGGCCTCATCTCCTTTGCACTGCACATTGTCCAGGAGGATATCACCTGAGCCTTGCCCAAAGTAAGCACTGCCTGGAGCCGCAATGACCTCGCCGCATCCCAGCTGCCTGCACACAACCTGGCCATCAGAAAGGTCCCAGAAATCGTCACAAACTGTCCCCCACTGTCTTCTGTAATAGACCTCAATGCGACCTTCACATCTGTGCCTTCCGTTCACCAGCCGGACACGGGTCACTGTGGGAAAGAGGGAAACGGACACAGACAAATAAACTGGAAGTGACATTAAGAAGTCAGTTAAGATGAAGGCCAGGTTGGACACAGGGGCTTGGAGCAAGCTGCTCTAGTGGAAGGCGTCCCTGCCCGCAGCATAGGGTTGGAACTGGATGAGCTTTAAGGCTCCTTCCAACACAAACCAGTCTGGGATTCTATAATCTATTTTGTCCTTTTGCCTCGTTGCTCTTAGTAGGTGCTTGCCTAGCCCAATATTAAATGCCTGTAAGGACAGAGGTGATACAGACCTTTGTTCTTTCTCTCTTCCAGATCTCAAAATCAGCTACATATATTTTATGTGAGATTTCTCAGAAAAGTTAGACAGCAGGCTAAGCACAAACTATTTCAGCAAGAAAGGAAATTCTTAAGTAAGAAAAGCATAATAGGAAAGCAAAGGAGAGAAAATGAATTTCAGTATCTGAATGAAATCTAAGTAAATCTGTATTAAGAAAATAGCACGATTATTTTTTTTCCACTTTGTTAATAGGAAGAAAATGGCATGCTTTAAGAACACATTTCATGTTTATGTATTTCTTTTATTCCCTGAAGTGTTTGACAGAATGGACAATGGTCTCAATAGGATTATAAAAATTTCAATAGGAATCCAGTGGCTTTATTTCTTATATGCCAATAACAATAAAGAAATAGCTAATGACCTATGTATCATGAATACTCTGATCACTGCATTCATTCAGGTAAAGCCCATCTGCTTTCTGGACTGCGTTAGCTTGTTTAGGCATTCTGCAGTGAACAGTATGAGAAACCTCATTTGAGAGGTTCATTTTTGTTGAGAGAATTTATTAGAGACTTTACTACCAAGTGTAAGTGAGCAAATAAATGTTGTAACTTAAGATTTGCAGTATCTACACTTCGGAAATCAAACCATGCATGCTGCACTTGTTATACTTTGCCAGATACATATTTATCTTGTTATCAAACACTGAGTAAGTCACCCAAAGCAAAACAAATCTGAGAAGTTAACAGCCCCAGAATTTCTTCACTGCATCTAATTCATTGTTGTTGGGCTAGAAGAACAGTCAAGACTGAGTCCAAACCAGATTTGTCTCTGTTTGTGTGCATTTAACTGGCAGCTGGAAGGGAAAAGCTGCAAAAGTGCCCCTTGACTTACATCTGATTTGTTTCTTCAGATATCTACTTGGACATGCACATTGTTGAACCTCACTCGTAGGATTTTTGAGGAGAGAAACCACAAAGCTGGCAAAAAGTCAGAATGGGATTAGGAAATAAAAGCTGATCTGAAAGTTTTATTTGCTTTCACTCAGGGTCTGTCATCACTGTGAGAGCTGTAATTAGATGGGTTGCATCCTGCCTCACACTTTAGAGGTGTCAGAAAGGCAAAAGGCTGTGATTATACAAATACAACACTTTGATCCAGCAGACAGAGGCAGGGGCTGGGGAATTAGCCAAGAACAGAGATAAGAGCTGGAGCAACCAGAGAGAGATGGCTTATCACCAGGCAAGCAGAGCACAGACAAAGAAAACTGGTTAAAGTGGATGATGGCATTATAAATTATCATAATGATGCTTAAATAACTAGAAAAACCATCTGCAATTATTCTAGGCTATGCATTGATCTATTTAACTCAAAGTCACCTAAGTGGCCTAGGAGATAGAAACTAATCAGACTAGTCAAAAGTCAATGACCATAAAACAGTTGAACTAAAAACATTTCATGTCTTTCATTATCTTCAGATGCCCCTTATTTATCTAGAACTGGATTATGAAAACTAACTGCTCATTGTCTTTCATTAAATTATACATAATATCAAGAATAATCAAATAATACAAGCAATATTAAGTATATAACATATGTATGCATGCATACACTGTGGAATAAATATACAATTAAAATAAAGGAATGAATTCTTCCATAACTCTTAGGTCAGATTTCTGGAACTGGAGGAGTGACCCGATCATAAGACACTCACAGACACAGTTCTTGCAATGTTGCAAGGCACCAAGACAAACATGACCCTGTGGCAGCAAAATTAACTCCACTAAATGGTTTAAATCATTCTTATCACTCACTGTGAGGATTAGCTCATAATTTTAGTAAAACAAAACTGTGCTATCTATCTCTTTCATCCAATTTTTCTTTCCATCTTTTGCCCATACTGATGCCAGCATGAATGTAATTCTTATCTGTGAAACCACCAGAGAGGACCCCAAGCAGTTTTAGATCTTTTTATGCACCCTGGAGCAAGTTTAAGTGCTTTACCTGATTTGGCCTCCAAAACTGCTGGACCTAGCAAGAGTAGCCATGTCAAAATTGTAGTGGTACCCATCTCATCAATTGCTGTTGACAGAAAGGACAGTCAGAATATATAGTTTCTATTTCTGAGGGGGTGGGGCTCTTTAGGTTTCTTTTTCTACAGTAGAACAATAAAGCAACCACAGTCCTATCATCTAAAAACAACACGTTTGATTTGTTGTTTAAGATTTTGTAACTTCCTGGGTTTTGGAGAAAGATTATATCTCAAGAGTAACATTTTCCACTGCTACCATAGGTTTCACAATCATCTCATTGTACAAAGAAAATGAGCTCCTATCCAAAGATACCTTTCAATTCTGGCTGATAAGTCTCAGGTTTTTTTCTTTTATAGAGAGATTCCTTGGAAGGTGTGGGGAAGGGAGTGGTATCTTGAAACTTAAACAGGCTTCATCAAGCAAAGTAATAAATAGATTTCCTAACCTGGTGCCTATTAATGTGGCAAATCTCCCTGGGGAGCCATGAATGCCTTAAAGCTTTGGCATACTTTAAATGAAATAAGACTGGTGACACTGTTCAAGTAAGACTGGGGAGTCCCTGAAGAACCTTGTAGTTGAAGTCAACACTGGTGCCAATATGAACCGATTGATTTTTGGCACTTTTAAGTTCAAGTCAAAACTGTGTTTACTGATGGACTGTTAGATTGAAGAAAGGTTAAAGAGAATCAGGCTCAGATGATAACTTTTTGTGCAAATGTGCAGAAAGATCAGTGGATTTTATGCATAGGTAAGTAAATTACATAGGTTGAAACTTAACTTTAATCCAGAATTTCCTTTAAGCCATTTTAAAGTGTATGTGTGGGGAAGGTTCAGATTTCTAATAAGATTCTCTCTTAATATATTCCTTGTATAGTGACAATTCAAGCTGTATCATTCTTTGAAGAATGAATCCAAAGCTTTTCCACAACATGAAACAATGCCTAACTCACTTCATCATTCTCTTGCCAGTGTGGTTACTTTCCTCTGTTTCTGTGTATTAATTACTTAACAAGAAAAAGCTGATGATCATCCTAACACTGAAGAGCCAGAATGTTGTTCTTCACCTGATTCCTGCTTCTACAGCCCTCATGTCTTGAATGGCACTATTGGGAGTTAAAACTGGTGGCACAATTGTTGCCATGTACAGACTTATTGCCCTGCAGGGGCAGTCATCAAGGATGAAGACTAAAGAACATCACCTAGAAGGTCTTTCCACAAAGGCCAGCGTTTTGGAATGGAAGAAGGAAGTGCAAAGGATAAAAGGCCAAAGATAACGTTGGAAGCCTTGAAAATGAACATTGAGAAGGGCAAATATGTTTTTTTTTATGCAAACAACCACATTTGCACATGAATGAGGAAATGTACACACCTGGTATTCTGTATTCATATTCTTCTGATTTTGACATCTTGGCAAGAAGCAAAGAAAGTCCAGCATATTTGACCAATCAAACACTGCAGTCAGTGGCAATTCCTCTCCAAACTCTTGTCATAACTGAAAAGGGTGGGGAGGAAGGGGAACATGAAAGTGATTCCTAGGCAAATCAAGTGAAAAAACTCATGTCAAACTGTGCGGGTAAATGAACAACACTGATTAATTCTTCACTACAAACTTCAAACATCCAGATCGTTCTAGCGATCTTGGTTACAAGACAATCTCTGCACAGTACAAATAGATAAATGTTTTGTTCTAATTAATTTGTATTATTTAATTAATGTTAATACCATGCAGCATGTTTTCATCCTTCCCATTGACCTGGTAAATCTCTTGCAGTAACACAGTTTTGTTCTCTAGGATTTCTGGCAGCTTGAAGTGTTTCTCGGCGCATTGTTCTATGAAAGAAGCTCCACCAAGCTTCAAGAACACTTTCTCTTCTGCTGACTATTAGGAGACTTCTGCAGAGGTACTGGCTTTTGTGAGGTCCAAATGAAAACCATTGAAAAGACAAAGATTAATCAGCTTTCACCTGTGACCGCAAGAAAGTACTTACAATGGAATAAGGGTGCCCACAGACTTCTACACAAAATAATGATAGTCTGAATACACACATTGTGATGCAATGAGGCAGCTTATTCTAATTTATCAAATTCCTTGATGGCCTCTTGGGCATTGCTGCCTATGTCATGTGAAGCATGTCATTGCAAATCAGCTAGCATGTATTTAGTGGTGAGGATACAGGTGGATCAGAACTGTCTACTGCTAAGAGTCAAAATCCACTGCATTTACTGGTAGATTTCATAGAATCATAGAATCCCAGACTTGTTTTTGTTGAAGGGACCTTAAAGCTCATCCAGTTCCAACCCCTGCCATGGGCATGGACACCTTCCACTAGAGCAGCTTGCTCCAAGCCACATCCAACCTGACCTTGAACACTGCCAGGGATGGGGCAGCCACAGCTTCTCTGGGCACCCTGTACCAACACCTCACTACAGTAACAGGGAAGCATTTCTTGAATAGGAAGGATCTCAGCACAGAGATCATTCACCAGGCACATGTACTTTAGAACATGACCCTTTACTCTTCATCAAATCCAATTCTATTGAATCCTGCATTTCTATAATATGTGTGGATCAAGGAAGGCGGCCGAAAATAAGAAGGATGAGTCTGAGACACCAACTACTTTATCAGTGTTTTCTAAAGCAACATTTAACATGGAAACAACTCGGTACTTCTACCTTGCATTCTGATACAATCTTGATATATCTCCATCTGGGAGCTGTAGCACAGACCTAGTGTGGGAAGATTCAGCTCTGAACAGCACAACCACATTGCAGGCTGAAGACACCAACAACCTAGGTCTAGGATCTTTCTGCTTTTCTAATTGTCACGGTAATATTAATAGACTAGGAGAAGTAGAAAAAGTGCCATGAAACTGTGCTCTGGAACATGTTGGGGTAACAACACCACAGCAGCAAGACAACAGCAGAAAGAGGGGCAGGAGAGAAAACAGTAGGCCTGGGAAGAGCAGAGGGGAAGGTCCTCTTCTAGAAAGGCAAGAAAACTCATGTCCAAGAAAGTCTTCTCTGTGCTGAGCAGGTTGTTGGATTTCTCCAAGCCTCGACAATCTCTGGTCCACGCAACAGGACTAGATAAAAGGCAGGTCAACCTCCTGGATAGCTCTGCCCTTCAGAGGTGGCTGTAGGTAGAGAGGAGTGGAGGACCTTCCTCAAGCCTTGCTCCTCATGTGTATTAAAAATTAACTTCCGCTGTCTGTGGGCAATGCCAGCCCCTCCTTGTATGGTCCCTTCTCCACAGCATGGAGAGGCAGTGAGAGGCCTGCGTGGAATCACCAGAAGGCAGCTTGAGGTAAGAAATGGTACAGGCTGTAAAGCTGATTCCCATCAGAGCTGCCCTCATCCTCCTCGTCAGGTCAGGATGTCACGCTGGAGTACAGCCCACCTTCCTTACACGTCACCACTTTGTCCCTGGCTCACCTCACACATAGGACATTATCCTCTTACCAATGAACTTCCCTTTTCTTAGCTGGCTAGTAAACAGGAAAGGCTAAAGTAGAGCATTTCTCAGTCAAATACCAATGACCTTTCCACCTGTATTAAGTACCTGCTCCCAAACAGAGTCTTCCTTTATTATTTTTTCTTCATTTTGTTTTCACATGGGGATAGGAGAGGCCACGCTTCCTTATGGCAGCTTACGTACATTCTTTCTCTCCCCCTCGTTACAGGTGTAGGAATGCATAAGAACCAGAGCAGAAATCATTTCTTGGCAAAGTCACTTTGTCAGAAGCCACATTCTTCCTGACAATAACTTAGCTGGGAGTTCAGATGTTGAGAGCTATTAGTTATTTAGCTTTAAATAGTAAGTTTTAAGTAGACTGAGTCACTTAGAGTTATAGGGTCAATTGCTGAGGTGAGTAGCTCGAGAGAGGACGCATTCAACACCGGAGCAGGGGCGAGAGCAGCATCCAGAAGCCTCAGCTCAGAACGACAAGAGCCACCAAGGGAGCCTCGAGTCCTCGACGGGACCTGCCCAGGAGCCGGCAGCTCCGCTGACGCCAGCAGCTGACTCACAGGGGATGGAGCCTGAAGCAGCGGCACCAGCCCTGAGCGGTTAAAAACCTGCCCCAGGAGCGCGGGGAACAGAGCGGGTCGAGGCGGTTTGCACGGGCAGGCGAGCGGGACGGTGAACACCCGTTGTATGATCAGGGCCTGGTCCGGGAGCTCTGCTCTGGCTGCCCCGGTGGTGGCATCCTTACGCTAAACCATGGCACCCAAGGCCGCGTCCAACCTGGTCTTGAACACTGCCAGGGATGGAGCATTCACAACCTCCCTGGGCAACCCATTCCAGTGCCTCACCACCCTCACAGGAAAGAATTTCCTCCTTATATCCAATCTAAACTTCCCCTGTTTAAGTTCGAACCCGTTACCCCTTGTCCTGTCACTACAGTTCCTAATGAAGAGTCCCTCCCCAGCATCCCTATAGGCCCCCTTCAGATACTGGAAGGCTGCTATGAGGTCTCCACGCAGCCTTCTCTTCTCCAGGCTGAACAGCCCCAACTTTCTCAGCCTGTCTTCATACAGGAGGTGCTCCAGCCCCCTGATCATCCTTGTGGCCTCCTCTGGACTTGTTCCAACAGCTCCATGTCCTTTCTTTCCTGCTTTTTCTTAATTACACGTTCACGTAACAGATTTGATTATATTTGTCCTCTATACAAAATCTTATAAATGGCCTACATTTCCCATAGAAATAAGTAATTGTGAAGAACCACACCCCCTAAATAAGGAATGCTGCACAGGAGCATGGTTCATTGTTAAGGTATTGTTACTGCAAAGAAACATTTATCTCAGACTGCTTTCCAGAGTATTTTATGGTGCTACACAGGGGTTTTATCTGTGTATCAGCAAGGCAAAATAAGTCAGTTCTTCATTCTCAAGTCACTTAAATCAGTCTTCTCAGACAGACACTCAAACAGGAGCTCAACTGAGATGCTCTGAAATGTCCAGTGTTGAAAATGGTGCCTTATTCGGATGCTGGGATGGAAGAATCAACCTGTCTTAAGACCTGAAGTATATTTGTACTTTATTTAAAGCCAGGCTCCTTTATAGGTTCAGCTCACGGTAACACTTGGTGTTCTCTTGATACAGATTTTCAATCTGAATCTTGATACAGATCCTTCAAACAAAATCTGGGTGGAATAGTCAAGTGAGAGTTACCCTCTTCACAGATTGCAAAACCAAACAGTGAGGCAGATGGCTGCTGAAAGTGGTCTTCCACCTTGGAAGGTCTTGGTTTGCCTCTCACATTATCTGGTATGGGATGGGTTCCTGCAGCTTACGCTTCAAAAGAAATCCCCCCACTGTGAGAACAGCAGCAGCCAGCACCACAATAGCCACAGCCAGAGGAACGTGAGAGCTGGCAGCAGTCACTGGGTCCTGAGACTCCCCTTTCACCTTGATGTCAGATGCCAGCTCTGTGCATAAAAGGGAAAGAAAGAGGTTTACATTTGTTTTCCTGAGCTGGTTAATCTCAAAGGTAGTTAGGCAAAGAGAGCTTGAACCAAAATGTTGCAATCTGGATTTTGCCAGATTACCAGAAGCCAAGTTGGTTTATTGTATGTTGTGTCACCAATGATTCTGTGCCCATGCCAAACAAGTAAAGATTATAGCAAAAAATTAAAGAGCAACTAAGTTTGTAATGATTATACTCTAAGACCATAAGATGCTGCTTTCTTATAGTGGAAACAGCAGCTACAGGACACTGGGAAATACGATTTGCAAGGGGACCTATGGATTGGTTGCTAATAAATGTGACATGCCAGTCAGGCACAGGCAGCTTTGAAAAAGTAATATAATCCTGCAGGGAGATGACTTGCATCTCATCCCTCTTCCCACAGAACTGAATAAATTGCCATTTGACATGTGCAGAATAAATGATGGATCTAAACTGTGATAGAAAGGAAACAGTTGTAAACTTTACAAAGCAATTGTATTTAAAAAGTAATAAAAAATTCCATGGAAGAATTAGAGCAGAGTGGTGGATAAACCAGCAAAGGCATATTTGAGAGCTGGATTTCATGTCTGACACACAAACATACAGTAATACACAGAGTCTTACATTATCTAAGTTATTTAAACTTACCAGCATTCCTGTTCTCAGCATGAGCTTCCCGAAGCTGGACAGGTCCAATAACAACACTCATTTTTTCCTGGGAAGAGCCTGCATCCCTCTTGGATCTATTAACACAACCTTGATAGCAGCGGGAAGAGTAGTCATAGGCCCTGCACACCACCAGATCACACTGCAGGTAAACTGATTGGTATCGATTAACAAATGAAAAGGCATTAAAGGCAAACCGAGCAACACTGCTGTATGGTGAATAGTAAGAAGAGTAGGTAGGATCCTTGACGCACCTAGGAAGACATAAAATGAACAGATTAGCTATTGTGAAAAAAAATCAATATTACACTATCTCTGTGAGGTATTTCTGAGCTTAAATATAAAAATAGAAGGTGGAAGTGTAAGAGAACTCAAAATGATAAAAAGTGGTTTTAGCAACAAGAACGATTAAGACACAAACGTAAGAGTGGCAGTGATTTCTACCACAGTAATGCATGCGATAGAGGGGTTTCATAGCTCAACAAAATTTGTGTAAACAAGAATAGGTGAAAAATAGCTAAACCAAGAATAGCTGAAAAATAACTAGTGGTTCTGCTGGTTTCTGTGTTTCAGGTGAGGAGCTGGGTTGCATTTGCAAACAGGATTACCCACTTGCTGCAAGGAGGCCCCTGCAGCTTGTTGCAGAAAGAGGAAGGGCCTCTTTCTGTTCTAGAAGGACAAAACTAATTCCAATATACATTTTATTCTGGAAAATAAGCATGCTCTTCAGTCCTTCAGTGTATGTAGAGTACCTTCCTTGAGGAATCTGGACTCCTCACCGAGGTCTCCAGACATTTCACAGAGCAAGCTGCTTGGTTAACTTTCCTGCCAATGAGTTTCACTTCCTGACAATTTCTAGCCTTAGAAGTTACCTGACCTGGATCCTGGTCATTCTGGTTTAATTTTAAAAGATCACCATAATTCACCCACAATTTTTACCCCAGGATATTTTAAAGTTGTCTTTATTTGTATTCACGCTCATTTCCCTAATGAGCACACCAAGAGTTTTAAGTCTTCTCATTCTTAATTTCTTTTATACTGCAGTGGTATCCCAACACACCTGATCTTTATAATGTTAGTGACTTAGTGTTCAAGGCTCAGTTGGACGGGGCTTGGAGCAACCTGGTCCAGTGGAAGGTGTCCCTGCCTGTGGTAGGGGGTTGGAACTGGATGAGCTTTAACCTCCCATCCAACCGAAACCATTCTAGGGTTCTATGAAATACGTTTGCTTTTGGCACAGTTCCATGTCACATGAATAAAATTATCAGGAAAATTATCAGACTCTATTTGCTCCATCTCCCTGGTGAGTGTCCTGCTCACAAAGGTAGGCAGTCCTTCTGTGTCCAACTTGCTGATATGTGTTTTTATAGTTAAAATAAAAAGAAAACCCAACAAGAGGACAAAACCTTCCTAAGATTCATTTCAAGTGTAAAAGGGAGGACATTCATTCAACAGGCAGGAGGCACTGTGTCCTTTCATTAGCCTGTCATAAGCCTGACTTACAGCTTATCAGTAGGTTACCACACTGCTAAGGTTACTGGTGTGAACACCCTCCCAGGAGACAGAGAAATTACAATCCTACCAAGCACAGAAGACAAATAAGCTACCATGAGTTTTTCATTCCTGGAACAAAATGGGACACTGAGAGCCACACCTTTATGCTTTTAGTTCCTTGTCGGTTTTGCATCCTTTACAAGAATCCACAACTTTTCCATTTCAAATCAGAAGGCACAAATTAAGCAAAATGTTTTAGGTTTCTAGAGTAGCAAAGGAAGGCTAAGGAATTTCTCTTCTCTTTGAACGGACTGTTTTGCATTCTAACTATGATGCTGTGAAATCCTAATTCTGCTGTATGGAAACATAGAACCACTGACATCCCAACAATTCATGTATCTATTTCAGAAACAAATTCAGACCTCAGTTTCTATGCTGCCTCCTTGAGTGTGCTCAGTGCTTGACTGCAACTCCTGAATGGCATTTTTTTGTTATATTTTCTTCAGGCTCTCCCAAAAGGTCTTTCTTAGAAGTATGTTTGTATTGAGAATTGCAACCAACATACACTGGGCCTCGGTCACCTCTTTCATAAATGAAGCTCTTTCAGAACTATGCCTGCAAATACTTAAGTCATTCTAGAAAGTCCTTACCCACTTCTGATCAATTCATAAGCCAGTGTTCTAAAGTTGTCAGGATCAGGTGATGCTACACGTGTCCACAAACACCGCCAGATTTGGGTCAGAGCTGTGAAGGGAAGCTTGAAGGAACAAATTCTGATTCAGGTCAACGTAGTATGGGAAGTCATGCACTGGCCACAAGAAAGATGAGGAATTGTAGAATGTCAGGTTCATGCTGTATCTGCCATACTGGGACAGACTTTCATTGACATTAATGGTGTCATTGACAATGTACATTGCTTGTACCCAGGTGTTCCGGAGCATTTTACAGTTGACACTCAAGTAAAGGTCACTTTGCCTCTTGATGATGTAACCGAAAGCAGGCACTCTTATCACATTGGAGTAGGTGATCGTTTCGTTGTTGCCCTGTTCGACACATTAAACGAGTACAAAATCATTGCATGTAGTCATGTTCGCAGTGTGCACTGTGAAGTTCTGCATTGTACCAGGTCCTAATATTAGTCAGAGAGAACGTGTCATACTCAGAAACCCCAAGCAGCATGGGTGGGTTTGTTCACTTAACTCTCTCCTATACTTTGTTCTCTAGACCATCACTCTGAAATAGATACAGGGACTGCCTAAACACTGGGAAGGATAAGTAGGAATGTTTAAGAAATCTTAGCCTCCAGAAGCACAATTCTTTTCTGTGTTTTGAATGCCTGTGGGCTTCAACACCATTTGCAATTCATTACAGTTTTGCAAATGTCTATTAAATTCCCAAGCCCAAACCTGGAGAACAACAAAATATGTTGACACCTACCTGTCTACGTGTACCACAGCCATTGTATGGAATGTTGAATATAACCTCAGTTGATGTAAATGTTGGTCTACAATAAGGGTCAGACAAGCTGATGTTCCACACTGAATAGCCCTGTGACTGGAGATAACGCCTGTCCACTGCTGCGCGCATGTATGTTGACAAGCATACAAGAGCTAGAGAAGAAAATATGAATTACAAATTATTTCAGGTACTTGACAATATTTGCATGGAACCATAGAATCAGCTAGGTTGGAAAAGACCTTTATGATCATCCAGTCCAATCGTTGCCCCAGGACTGCCAAGGCCACCACCAAACCATGTCACTAAGGGCCATGTCTACACAGTTTTTGGATGGTGATTCCACCACTTCCCTGGGCAGCCTGTTCCAATGCCTGTTACAGCTTCAACAAATGCAATAGCCTACCATTTAGGGAAGAGAATTCATAAGCCAAACCACTTATTTTTACGTCTTAGACATGAATAAGCAGGAGTCTCTGACAAACTTCAGTGAACTGTCAGTTACTAACCTGACCAAAATATGTAGCTTACAATAGGCTTTTGCTGAGCCCTTGAGTCTGTATCACCTGTATACATAAAAATGCTAAAAAGTGGGATTTTTTTTCTGAACAATAATCCAAAAGCTACTATGGAAGGTGTAGAGCTAAAAGTACACAATGGCTTACAGAAACACTGCATAAGTAAGGGGATCATAGAATCATAGAAAAGTTAGGGTCGGAAAGGACCTTTAGGTCATCATGACAGTTCACTGAGTACATGGCGTGAAAAACAGTGATGTGGGGGAGAGTCTGGCCATTAGTAGAGATATCTGATGACAGGGAGCAGCTCTGCTTTGAATACGTGGACTAGGAAGCCTCCAAAGGTCCTTTCTAAGCAATATTTCTATGATTCCATGAAAATCTGCCCACAAAGGTAGGAAAAAAAAATATATGAATAATGTTGTGATAAGAAGAAATATGATTTTAGACTGACCGCTGTAGAAAACATCTCAAGGCAATGAATTTGATTCTTAAAATGTTTTTTAAATGAAAACAAGATTATTCTCTGATGGTGATAATTTTGAAATTCAAGTAGGAATGTCACCTATGTGCAACAACATTAATACTTATTTAGCAAATAAAATTAGGGTATAAAAGCTTCTAAGCAAAGAAAACATTACCAGCAGAATGGAAACTTACTGGTGGTATGGTCTGTTGGAATGGACCGATACTCAGCATGAAACCCTCTACCGGAATACCTGGAGTCACTGTGAAATCTGACAGCCATGAAGTTGGACGATGATGTGTACGTAAGACCATAATTAGAACAAATTCTTCCAAGCAGAGGAGAAGTGTTTGGTGGCCCATCATAAATCTCAATATAGTCATTCTGGCATCCACCTTGCAACCTGAGGAAGAAACATGAATGTATAATAAAATACATTTAAAACCCACAGGTTTTAAGTGCTGACAAATAATAAACTAAATAATAAAAAATAAATTAAATAATAAAAAATAGCAAATAATAAACGAAAATACTTCACTCACACAATTGCTGTGCAAATTATATTCATGGGATATGTGCCTGGGAATTTGGGTTGGAACTAGATGATCTTAGAGTCCTTTCCAACCCTAACTATTCTATGATTCTAACTGTGGTTGCAGTTGAGGTTTGAGACCCATTTATTGCTCAAGCAAGAAGCAGTTTACTTACTGAATGTTTCTAAATGTGAGTGTAATGCGGAAATTATTCTCTACTTGTATTTGCCACAAACAATCTGCATTATCTGGATAATTCAGAGGATAATAGGGACTCTGAAGTGTTCCGGAGGGATTAAAAAGTAAGCCACCACAAATGTATTTTTTAGCTGGAAAAAAAAAAAAAAGTTACATATTTAGATTGATTTATAATAAAATGAACATATATTCTATATATCCAGCCACAGCTCCAAGAGTGTATATCTCTAGAGAGAGAACTGAAAAATGGTGCTATGCTGACTCAGGCTACAAGTGGGATGATCTCTTCAGAGATCTCTGACTCTCTGATTCCATTTTGCTGGTAGGATTAAGACATAAGTGGGTATGAAAGGAAACAAGTGGTGCTGGGCCAAATAACAAAAAAAAAATAGTGAAGAAAAATATTTCTCCCCCAAAATCAACAGTCTGAAATCCATCACCAGGAAAATAATCAGACAGACATAGGGGAGATGCATGTAGGATTTAAACAGCACCCAAAATGGCTTTTCCCAAAAGCATTACAATGTGCAAATGATATGACACCAACATCTAATCTTGCAAATAATACATCTCAACAGTAATGCACCATATAAATGAAAATAGAACACGAACCTGGAGTAGTCACTGGTGGAGTGGGAACACTGGTAATATTTGTGGCATCTGCAGAGAAGGAAAAGAAAGAAGCAGATGAGAACACTGTGGAAAAAGGGGCAAGGGCATGGTTTCTTCCAGCACTGGGGATGATGCTGCCAGCCCATCAGATGGGCTGTGGAGAGCCTGGTGACCTTGACAGGCTGGTCAGCCACTGTGCGAAAAACAAACAACACGCTCTTTGACCACGTCTTCAACAGAGTCAATTGTGGCAAACAAGAAATCATTTTTTAAAGTGTCCTGGTATTTAGGAAAGAAAAGCAATGATACCTGAGCAGACAACACCAGCATCTTCACTGTGGACACAGTTGTGGACACCCCAGCCATTGTGGCTGCACTGGAAGAGGGAGGACTCGTTCCCGGTGCAGCGCACATTGTCCAGGTAGATGCTGCCTGTGCCTTGTCCAAAGTAGGCATTGGATGTTGCAGCAAGAGCAAAGCCACATCCCAGCTGCCTGCACACAACCTCGGCATCCTTCAGGTCCCAGCTGTCATCGCAGACTGTGCCCCGGCCCCCAGGGTGTGAAATTTCTACACGCCCCTCACACTGGTTTCTACCGTTCACCAGGCTCAGGGAGGCACCTGGGAAAGGAGAACACAGGGAAAATGTGGGGAAAACTCTAGGAAGTCCATCCTCTGCTTGTTGAGGCTGTGCCTTTTCTTCTCTCTGCTCTCCCATGGAGAAAATCTAAGTGCAGCCACTGACTGGCACTGGCAAAAGAAGTGGCCAGGAAAACCATGGGAAATGGAGACCTACCTGGAGGAACGGATGTTATGAAGCTCTCTGTGGTGGAGGCTGTGGCACCTGTAGGAGAAAAAGAGAAAGAAGCATGCGAGGGTGCCATGGAGAAGGATAAAGGTCAAGGATTCTTCCATCACTGGGATGTTGGTGCCAGCCCATGACATTTCCAGTGCACATCTTGTGTGTCTCAGGAACCTGGTCGCCCATGGTGGAAGCAACAGAAACACAATCTTTTGAAGTTGTCTCCGACACAGAGTCAACTGTGGGCCACAAGAAGCTGTATTTGAAAGTGTCTTGGTATTTAGGAAAGAAAAGCAATGATACCTGAGCAGACAACACCAGCATCTTCACTGTGGACACAGTTGTGGACACCCCAGCCATTGTGGCTGCACTGGAAGAGGGAGGACTCGTTCCCGGTGCAGCGCACATTGTCCAGGTAGATGCTGCCTGTGCCTTGTCCAAAGTAGGCATTGGATGTTGCAGCAAGAGCAAAGCCACATCCCAGCTGCCTGCACACAACCTCGGCATCCTTCAGGTCCCAGCTGTCATCGCAGACTGTGCCCCGGCCCCCAGGGTGTGAAATTTCTACACGCCCCTCACATTGGTGTCTACCGTTCACCAGGCTCAGGGAGGCACCTGGGAAAGGAGGGAGACAAGGAAAATGTTGGAAAAGCTCTGGGAATGCCATCCTCTGCTTGCTGAGACTGTGCCTTTACTTATCTCTGCTCTACCATGGGGAAGATCCAAGTCCAGCCTCTGAGCCACTGACTGGCACTGCCAGAAGAAGTGGCCAGGAAAACCATGAGAAATGGAGACCTACCTGGAGGAACGGATGTTATGAAGCTCTCTGTGGTGGAGGCTGTGGCATCTGTAGGAGAAAAAGGGAAAGAAGCATGTGAGGGTGCTATGCAGAAGGATGAAGGCCAAGGATTCTTCCATCACTGGGATGTTGGTGCCAGCCCATCAGAGTTGCAGTGCACATCTTGTGTTTCTCAGGAGCCTGGTCGCCCATGGGGGAAGCAACAAAGTCAGACTCTTGGAATATGCCCCGCAAAAAAGCTAATTGTGGCCCACAAGAACCCTTTTTTGAAAGTCTCCTGAAGTTTGCAAAGGAAAAGCAATGATACCTGAGCAGACAACACCAGCATCTTCACTGTGGACACAGTTGTGGACACCCCAGCCATTGTGGCTGCACTGGAAGAGGGAGGACTCGTTCCCGGTGCAGCGCACATCATCCAGGTAGATGCTGCCTGTGCCTTGTCCAAAGTAGGCATTGGATGTTGCAGCAAGAGCAAAGCCACATCCCAGCTGCCTGCACACAACCTCGGCATCCTTCAGGTCCCAGCTGTCATCGCAGACTGTGCCCCGGCCCCCAGGGTGTGAAATCTCTACACGCCCCTCACACTGGTTTCTACCGTTCACCAGGCTCAGGGAGGCACCTGGGAAAGCAGGAGACAGGGAAAATGTGTGAAAAACTCTAGGAATGCCATCCTCTGATTGCTGAAGCTGTGCATATCTTTGTCGCTGCTCTCTGATGAAGAAGATCCAAGTCCAGTCTCTGAGCCACTGACTGGCACTGCCAGAAGAAGTGGCCAGGAAAACCATGAGAAATGGAGACCTACCTGGAGGAACGGATGTTATGAAGCTCTCTGTGGTGGAGGCTGTGGCACCTGTAGGAGAAAAAGAGAAAGAAGCATGTGAGGATGCCATGCAGAAGTATGAAGGCCAAGGATTCTTCCATCACTGGGATGTTGGTGCCAGCCCATGACATTTCCAGTGCACATCTTGTGTGCCTCAGGAGACTGGTTGTCCATGGTGGAAGCAACAAAAAAGCAATCTTTTGAAGATGTCGCCAACACAGAGTCAATTGTGGCCCACAAGAACCCTTTTTGAAAGTGTCCTGAAGTTTGCAAAGGAAAAGCAATGATACCTGAGCAGACAGCACCAGCATCTTCACTGTGGACACAGTTGTGGACACCCCAGCCATTGTGGCTGCACTGGAAGAGGGAGGACTCGTTCCCGGTGCAGCGCACATCATCCAGGTAGATGCTGCCTGTGCCTTGTCCAAAGTAGGCATTGGATGTTGCAGCAAGAGCAAAGCCACATCCCAGCTGCCTGCACACAACCTCGGCATCCTTCAGGTCCCAGCTGTCATCGCAGACTGTGCCCCGGCCCCCAGGGTGTGAAATTTCTACACGCCCCTCACATTGGTGTCTACCGTTCACCAGGCTCAGGGAGGCACCTGGGAAAGGAGGGAGAGAGGGAAAATGTTGGAAAAGCTCTGGGAATGCCATCCTCTGCTTGCTGAGACTGTGCCTTTTCTTCTCTCTGCTCTACCATGGGGAAGATGCAAGTCCAGCCTCTGAGCCACTGACTGGCACTGCCAGAAGAAGTGGCCAGGAAAACCATGAGAAATGGAGACCTACCTGGAGGAACGGATGTTATGAAGCTCTCTGTGGTGGAGGCTGTGGCATCTGTAGGAGAAAAAGGGAAAGAAGCATGTGAGGGTGCTATGCAGAAGGATGAAGGCCAAGCATTCTTCCATCACTGGGATGTTGGTGCCAGCCCATCAGAGTTGCAGTGCACATCTTGTGTTTCTCAGGAGCCTGGTCGCCCATGGCGGAAGCAACAAAGCCGGACTCTTGGAATATGCCCCGCAAAAAAGCTAATTGTGGCCCACAAGAACCCTTTTTGAAAGTCTCCTGAAGTTTGCAAAGGAAAAGCAATGATACCTGAGCAGACAACACCAGCATCTTCACTGTGGACACAGTTGTGGACACCCCAGCCATTGTGGCTGCACTGGAAGAGGGAGGACTCGTTCCCGGTGCAGCGCACATCATCCAGGTAGATGCTGCCTGTGCCTTGTCCAAAGTAGGCATTGGATGTTGCAGCAAGAGCAAAGCCACATCCCAGCTGCCTGCACACAACCTCGGCATCCTTCAGGTCCCAGCTGTCATCGCAGACTGTGCCCCGGCCCCCAGGGTGTGAAATTTCTACACGCCCCTCACATTGGTGTCTACCGTTCACCAGGCTCAGGGAGGCACCTGGGAAAGGAGGAGACAGGGAAAATGTTGGAAAAGCTCTGGGAATGCCATCCTCTGCTTGCTGAGACTGTGCCTTTTCTTATCTCTGCTCTACCATGGGGAAGATGCAAGTCCAGCCTCTGAGCCACTGACTGGCACTGCCAGAAGAAGTGGCCAGGAAAACCATGGGAAATGGAGGCTTACCCGGAGGAAAGGATGTTATGAAGCTCTCTGTGGTGGAGGCTGTGGCACCTGCAGGGGAAAAAGAGAAAGAAGCATATGAGGATGCCATGCAGAAGGATGAAGGCCATGGATTCTTCCAGCGCCGGGAATGGTGGTGCCAGGTCATCAAACGAGCAGTGCACATCTTGTGTCTTAAAATGCTGGTCATCCATGGTGGAAGGAAGAGAAACACAATCTTTGAAGATGTCTCCAACACAGAGTCAATTTTGGAATTGCAGTCGAAGAAATTATATTCCCTCTTAATCCCATACTGAAAGCCACACATATAGAGGAACAAAGTATTTCAGTAGTATTTTCATGGTAGTATTTTTTCTAATTTAGTTTATACTGTGCTACAAGACACTACTGCAAACAGGAACAGTATTTATTTCAGTGTACTAAATTTACTTCAACATGGATAATAGTTAATCATGATATCAATTGGGTCTTTAATAAGACAACATGATGCTACCTAATTTCAGTCTGGTTTGCTTCTAATCTTTGCACAAATTTCATTATACTAGCATGTGAATTCCGTGTATGGAACCAGCGTAGAGGCATAAGAAATCCCTTTTTTAACTACCTGTTTCAAAAGAATGTTCTTTAAAGATTATAAGTGGTTTACCTGAGATGGCATCCAGGAGTGCTGAATTAAAGAGGAATAACCAAAGCAAGTTCTTGGTGATGTCCATCTTGTCAAGAGATGCCAATAAAGCAGAGCATCAGAATTTATACTCTGCACTTGTGAAAAGGGGAGGGTCCCAAGGTCAGTCTGGTTCAGGTATGTCTGATTTCTTATGCAATATTTTTATGACTGATCTTTACAGAATGATTATATAGGAATGCCAAAGTTTCAGTTTCCTGAAAATTTTGTCCTACTGCCCATATTATAAATTATCTTAACGGTAAGTGCAGGCCCAGTGTTACCTTTGAAACCAGACTAGTGAATCAATATGTTTCTTTGCCCCCACCATCCCAATTTTATTCATTTACTGCTTCTAGCTAATGACTTACTTAAGCAGATTGTAACATAAGGTGAGAGAGCAAATTCATAGCAGGCTTTTTGATACATCTCTCAGCAGAGAGCTCCAGTCTCATAAGTGTCTATATTTCTTATGGTTTCCACTTGAAATTACAGGCTGGTTTCCTTGCTGCTTTTACATGAACTGCACATTATAAGTGGGACTATGTCAGCTATCAGAAGTAAATTAACACCAGCTATTTGTAACCTACCTTAAGTGGACCTCATCATGTTCTGCTTTACCAGTGTCTTCCCTTAATCTTCTATGTTCCTTAGCTGAATTTGCCAAAAAGGCTTCTTTCAATCCTTTGAATCACAAAGTTTATAAAAAGGGAAAGGAGTATGGGTTGAAGTAAAATCAAAATTCCTCTTGAACTGTTTTCCTTGTTTGGCCTATGAGAAGTCTTAATGGAGATATAGATCACTTAGGGTACAAAAGACCATAATCCTGTCCTTCTCATCGGTTTGCTGGGAGTCACTATATTTCACATCTACTGTTTCTCCTCATCTGATGAAGAGAAATACAGGCCAGCTACAAACAGGCCAATTGTTGGTTTAATACTCTACTCATTACACTTCTTCCAGGCTGTACCTATTTTTTAATTTTGGCTGTGATACAGATGGTAACCAAATCACAATAGCTGACATAACTCATGATTTCTGCTCATATATTTCAATTTTCCTCCTATAGAAAAACATAGCTTGGGTCTAGAGACAGAAGGAATAAAGAGTCCTCTTTCTGCAAAAAGTTCACAGAGCTAGGATAGAGGAAGGAAAGACAAAAGGCCAGAGTCCAGAATCAGAAGCTTTCAAAACAGCCGTTGAGAAGAGCAAACAAACTGGAGGACAATGGTAAATACAACTGATTGTATTCATGTGTTAATAAAGAAATGTAAGCCTGAACATTGCTATTCACAGCTTGACTGTTCCTAACAAAAGCAAAAACAATACCATGTGCTCTGTGGAGCAATCACACATGGTTATTGGAAAGGGGCTACAGGATTATAATCCTGCCTTCTAAATTCTTGAAAAATAAGACCGTTGCACAGACCAAGTGTAAGCAGTTGGAAAGCAGTTTTGGAGAAAAAGGACTGGGGCTCCTGAGGAACAAACTGACCATAATTCAGTGGCATCCTGGTGTTGCATTTGGATAAGCGCTGCCAGCAGGTCTAGAGTGGTTACCCTCCCCCTGTACTCAGCACTGGTGGGACACACTTGGGTTGCAGGTTCCAGTTCTAGGCTCCCCAGTACGAGAGAGACATGCACATACTGAAGTAAGCCTAGCCATTAAGATGATTAGGGAACTGGAGCATCTCTCATAAGATTAGAGGCCCACAGAAGAGATGGTTCAGGGGCATCTCATCAATGTGTACAAAAACCTGATGGATTGGAATAAAGACAGAGCCAGACTCCTCTCAGTGGTGCTTTATGGCAGGACAAGAAGCAGCAAGCATGAATTGAAATGCAGTAAATTCTATTTAAACATAACAAAAAGGAATGTCACCGTGAGGGTGGTCATGCAGTGAATTGGTTCCCAGCGAGGTTATAGATTCCTTCATTCTTCAAGATATTCAAACCCAGCTGCACACACTCCTGAGCAACCTGTTTTCTCTGACCCTGCTTTGAGCAAGGAAGCGGGTCATCCAGCCTTAGTTGGTCTATGACATGGTGAAAAGAAAATCTAGGGATGATGTCAAAGAGATTCAAGAAAAAGGAGGACTAAATGCACTGTAGTTAAATTTATCTGCAACAATTTAATCTCCTAGTGTGGATCTTTAACACAAACTTGGCTTTCAATTCTGGGCAGGCTTAACCGATTAGAGCTCACTGGTGCATTTCTGACATTTACAGTAAATATTCTTTAACGTATATGAAAACACATGTCTTCAGGTTTGATAACAGGCACCTTTCATTTGCAGCTGCCAAAATGAAAATGGCCTCTGTACAAAATACTCTCTATTACACATACTGACGCCAGAGCAGCAGGAAGTTTGCTATAAAATACAGTGCCATAAAAACCTGCAAATAAGCTGATGCATGAGGCTGTGGTTCTGATAGTATATCAACAATCCATTGCAATTCTCACTTCAGTAATACATGGAAACGAAAGCCTCAGTTCTTGACTACATATCACTGAGATAGGTAGGATACATGGGATTGGTTTTGTCATACCGTAATACACAAGTCCTGGTGTCCTCAACATAAAAAGGACATGGAAGTGTTGGAACAAGTCCAGAGGAGGCCACGAGGATGATCAGGGGACTGGAGCACCTCCCGTATGAAGACAGGCTGAGAAAGTTGGGGCTGTTCAGCCTGGAGAAGAGAAGGCTGTGTGGAGACCTCAGAGCAGCCTTCAAGCGTCTGAAGGGGGCCAATAAGGATGCTGGGGAGGGACTCTTCATTAGGGACTGTAGTGATAGGACAAGGGGTAATGGGTTAAAACTTAAACAGGGGAAGTTCAGATTGGATCTAAGGAAGAAATTCTTTCCTGTGAGGGTGGTGAGGCCCTGGAATGGGTTGCCCAGGGAGGTTTTGAATGCTCCATCTGTTGCTGTGTTCAAGGCCAGGTTGGACAGAGCCTTGGGTGCCATGGTTTAATGTGAGGTGTCCCTGCCCATGGCAGGGGGGTTGGAACTTGATGATCTTCCACCCTTACAGGAAAGAATTTCCTCCTTATATCCAATCCAAACTTCCCCTGTTTAAGTTTTAACCCGTTACCCCTTGTCCTATCACTACAGTCCCTAATGAAGAGCCCATTCCCAGCATCCCTATAGGCCCCCTTCAGACACTGGAAGGCTGCTATGAGGTCTCCACGCAGCCTTCTCTTCTCCAGCCTGAACAGCCCCAACTTTCTCAGCCTGTCTTCATACAGGAGGTGCTTCAGCCCCTGATCATCCTCGTGGCCTCCTCTGGACTTGTTCCAACAGTTCCATGTCCTTTTTATGTTGAGGACACCAGAACTGCACACAATGCTCCAGGTGAGGTCTCTTGAGAGCAGAGTAGAGGGGCAGGATCACCTCCTTCGACCTGCTGGTCACGCTCCTTTTGATGCAGCCCAGGATATGGGAATCATCAGCTTCCTCCTCTCAAGATGGATGCCTTGAATTTGCTGGTGGAAAATACAGCCCTGGTTGTGGGGAACCCAGATGGCCAGGTCTTGCTCTGCACCAAACATGAGTTTGTTTCCCACTTTTTCAGATGCAAATAAAAAACAAGGGTCCTTCCTTTTCATAGGACAGTTGTGAGCACGTCACAAAATGTGTGATAGCCAGTAATGGAGCCCACCTGAAAGGTACTTTGGTAAATCTCAGTGTGATGTATTTATCCTTCAGGCAAGGCTAGCACTCTTGAAACTGCCCTGTAGCGCTTTCTGTTCCTACTGCAGTCAGTGCTAGCCAGCAAAATATTTGAATGCAAGTGCTCCTGTTGTACTCTCCTAAACCTTCTTTTAAGCCCTGTTTTCTATCACTTCCTATTTTCAGATATAGAGATGATTTTTTTTTTGCATAAAAATTGCATGGAATAATGAAATGTCTCAATGGAGAATGCTTTATATAGCTAAAAATAACTATATGATCCCACACAGCTGAAAGAGAAAGATTACTCTTCTGATTACATATGGATCCTCATACACAACGTCTGAAGATTTTGTGACTAGTTCTTTAGGGAGGTTCCTCTTGCTATGAGCTATTTGAGCTATTTTCAATTATGGCTGATTTCCAATCTAAATGATGTAATTACGAAATCAGGAAGACAATGCTCCTTGTGTGATGTATCTGTTGATTCCTCAAAGTGGCTCTGGATTTGAACTCACAATTTTGCTTTCTTGAAAAGCATCAGCTGTAATAAAGAATTTTTCCAAGCAATATGTCACCCATACATGTGGGTCTCCTGCCAGAACATAGGAATACCACATGCCTGGGTTCTGGAAAAACCCAGGAAGATCTTATTGCTGGTCCAGATCAGACATCAGCCCTGCATAACAGCTTCTGCCTATTACTTACTGCCTAAGCCAAGAATGTCTCTAAAATTCATATGAATCCTTATTATACCATTACTGTGATGGCATAATTATTGTTATAGCCTAGCCTAGCACTTCCCTGTCAGCCAAAAGCAATTCTGGAAAACAACTTTAAAGTTCCATGTTTAGTTCTGGGGTTTTGGTCATGGTGGGTTTTGTTTTTTTGCCTTTTTTCTTTGCCAATAGATAAGAGTCAAATGAAGCCAGTATAACTCTTTTTAGGCAACACCATAGCTCTGCTTTGTATCAGGGGAAGGTGCCAATTTATCTGCTTGTATTTCTGCAGGAAAAGAAGACAGCTAGCAGCAATGACAAGTGAATATCATCAAGGGTGATAGTGCCTTCCTGAGTGCACAAACATCCTGGCAGTTGCAGGATGGCAGAAGGGCTGTTGTTCCAGGAACGTCTGGCTGGGCGTTTCATCCTTAGTACTGGATTCCATGTGATCAAGGCTGGCCCTGGACTGTGGCCAAGGCACCTGGAAATGGACTTCAATGGCTGCTCTCAGGTCAGCTCCACCTGAGTCAACAGATCTTCGGTACCTTTATTGCAACATTTATGACTGTCGGAAGAAGGGGCAGGCAACTAAGGAGGTCTACAGGGAAGTGGTGAGGTTATGCAGGGAGGAAATGAGGAGGCCTGAAGCCCAA